CTTTTCTGTTTGTATGGTGATGGGCTATATTTGCAGGCCCAGATTGTTACCTTTTGTGCTGTTTGAGGATGCCAATGTTGCCTGTATTTATGATATTGTCACCATGTTTTCTGAAACTTCATACTTACCATGTTTACAAAGATTTGTTTGCTGTACATAGACTTTTTACAGTAATGTCCTTTGCACAATCAGTGTGGCTTCTGTCTGTAAATTGTTAATGGTCTGTACTACTATAATTTTGAAAACCCTCTGCTGAAAATGTTAGTGGTTATTTAACTTGATGAATGGTTTTGAGTTTCCTAAATCCTGTCATTTAGATCTAATATTAAATCCTAAATTTGGTTGTACTTGCTGGTTATTCATACTAAGACCAAAATGGAAGTTAATGAAAACACTTAATTTTGAACTTTTTCTAACAAGTGCCAAAATTATTGCTATAGTTTTTGCAGTTTATTTGTAATTACAAATGCTGGCAAGTTTCTGGACCTACAGAAGTGAATTGCGAAAAGAAACAACGTTTGTCTGCATTTTGACCACGTAGGTGCTACTCTGTCCTTTGCTTCCGATTGTTCTGAACACTGGTAACTTTAAGAATTGTTGCACTTGGCAAACGAGTCTTGCCATTAAACTTCACTTACACTGCCAAGTGCAAGGGTTTGGTGCTTAGTTAACTTACCCTTATTGCAGTGCTTCTTGTGAATAGCTAATGCTTCTGAACTGGAACTGTACATTTTGTATTTAAAGCTTCTGTAAAAGTAAACTATTTGCTTTATTAAAGATATACATTTAATAGGTCATACCTGTTTAAAATATGCACCTTGCTGAAAATGAGCAGCACCTTAAACTGTAACTTTGGTTTGTAAACAAAGATCTTATTTCATTAACATGGGATTATTTAACAGTTTGAAAATTGTCAACTGCCTACTTCCTGACTCATCATATAAAAACAAACTTTATGCACTGTACAATCTCAAGCAGCTTTAATGCTACTTTTTCAAGTAGATTGCACTGAAGAACAGGATACAGAAAATGCCTTGGCAGTGTCTTGGAACTAGTAGTGCAGATGAACGTTGCCAAAACCGAGTTACTTGAATTTTTAGCAATCAGAGTAAATAATTTTGATGGTAGTGAGCAAAATGTAAATTCCCCTCCCTCCCCCAAACTACTCTCAAGGCTGTTAGTTTAGCTTATGTTAATCGTGCCACTGAAATGCAGTATCCAAGGTGTGCAAGTAAGCTGTGCTCTTTCTGGATAAGAGCATACAGCTGACCATAAATGCTGGCAGATACCCAGGAAGCATATGAATCCATTTTGATGATGCAAGAATTTACTTGTTTACAGTCTGCAGTACAGAGCATTTCAAGCAAAAAGGAAAAGGCTTGATACAACTAGGGCAAGCATACAGCCTTCTCTCACTGAGTGTATAGGCTTGATTTCTCCCTTGCACTTAACTGCTCTAAGTTACGCAACAGTCCCATCTTTCCTAGAAAAGTTAACATTTCTGTTTCACTAAATCGCTGAGCTGTTCCTTTGTTAACATGTTACATTAATCCAGAATATACTATAATTTACAAAGAACATCTTCAGTTTATTAAGCACAACTCCTACGATACAAGAGTCTACTGCTTATATATATGGCAACATATGACCAATTTTGTCATGCTGGAGGTAGAAAGAAGTTACCTGGCTAAACGCTTACCCTATTGTTATACAACCTTAGTCATGAAACAGTCTCTAATCAGACTGCAAGACTTCTCTCTCCAAAGGCATCTCTGGTAGTGCTGTCCTGACAACCAGGCTATTTTCAGAAGTATAGTACATGGAGTTTTTCAGAGGGGAAAAAGGGAGAGTGATAATTATCACCCTTAAGTTCTGCTTACAGTAATGAGGGGGGAAAAGCTAGCCTAATATTGCATCAAAAACTATGTTTGTGTTTTTAACATAAAAGTATGGATGACTCCTTTTTACCTGCCTTTCAAGACCACAGCTTCTCAGCTCTCAAAGTGGGACTCTTAAGTATTTCTACAGATAAAAGCATCACTGCTTGTGTCCAGGTACGCGCAGTCAGTCTACAGTCTTCTGCGTGCTGGGTGGCGTTGCATCAGCAATTGTGGCTAAATAAATGAGGTTTCTATGCAGGATATGCTGGTACCTATGAGAGGAAGAAACATAGTATCTGGGAAATGTGTTCTTTTCTAGCAAACCATCCACACTTCAATAGTAGCTTTTGGAATCTGACCAATATTTTCTGTTGCGGAAAGAAGTAGCAAACTATAAAAATAACAAAATCAGGGCAAACACCTCCATATCCCGTTCTTGTTCTAAGGCCCGGTATACTGCACTGAACTGCACTCTGTCACCAAGTATGCGCTACTAACCCACTTTGATAGTAAACATGCACATTAAGAGCTTTGTATGAGCAATACTGAAAAGATGCAGAACTGCAAGAGGGCAGCTCAGGGGCAGGAGATGACAAAGCTCCACCATTGGGCTGCTCTGAACATAGAGCCAGCCGTGCCCAGGCTCGGCAACCGCTGTCAACCCGTCTGTCGTCCCGGTCCTCTGCAAGCTTAAGAGCTGAACTGCTGTGGAGCCACGAGCTGACCACCCTCACCCTTCTGTAAATACCACTCAGTGCTTTACACACGCTGGGGGGGGGGAGGAAAAGCCCGCCCAGGAGAGCTGGTTCTCATATTGACACAGAACAAAACCTTGACAAAAAGGCGCAGGCATCAGATTTATTCTATACGGTGGCATTTTTGCTTTACAGATCTGCGAGAGCAATTTTTGGGAAGCCTCCTAAGAAGAACAACCGCATTTACTTCTTAACTACTCCGGAGCGGGGAAGCTCCGGAGAGCAGGAACCGCGCTTCGCTCTCGTTAGGAGTTCGGGGACGTTGAAGCCCCCGGGCTTCCGGGTTGCCCGGAGCAGGCAGCGCGAGGCCCCGGCGCCCGCGCCCGCGGGGACTCACTTACTGCACGCAGTCGGTGGCCCGGCCCTTGCTCTGGTACTCCACGATGCACCGGATCAGCTGGTCGTTCTCCTCCAGCAACTAGGGCACAGGAGCGCGCCGTCACCGCCCGCC